CAAGACCCAACACTCTGGATGAGCTTAAGGCCGCTATCGAAGCATCCTGGGCCTCCATAACACCTCAGCAGTGCCACAGGCTGATTGCCTCCATGCCACGCCGCATTGAAGCAGTCATTCATGCAAAAGGATTCCCGACCAAGTATTGAGTGCATAACTGAACATGATTATTTGAAGGTTGGCGTTTTTTGTATTAAAAACACTTGTCTTTCATTGGTGGGATGAAATATACTAATTTTTTGGGACAGGCATTTTGGGTTTTCATGAGCTGTATGTCATAATCATCAGTATTAAAACAATTAAAGACCTGAAATATTTCAGTTGGTGTGCAATGAATCTGAAATATATGAAAGTTTCATTTTTATCATTACATTATGGAAAATAATGATCTTTATCACAATATGCTCATTCTTTGAGAAGGACCTGTATATAGATACACTATAGATCCTGAAAGCTGTTTTATTTCTACCTAAATGTTTCATTCAGTGTTTTGTTTAACTGATGATTGTTCTTTTTCAGGGTTCAGATAATTTTCATCATCCAGGAATTAAAGAACGTTCTGACTCCATCGTCGGTCACAGTTCAAACTGGGCGGTGGTCGACGTGCTCGTCACAACCTTCTGTCTGTTTTCAGAGAAGCTCCTGGGCATGAACGAGACCTCTGCAACCATCACCATGGCAGCCGCCAACACCTCCAGCCACTCCATCAACGAGCAGGTTCTGTCTGTGGCCAGCGTCGGAGTGGTACCATCCAGCCCCAACGTCTGCAGGTAAGACCATTACTGTTTGTTTTTAAATGGTAAGAAAATGTTTTTTAGCAGGTCCTGAAGCGTTTTACTATACTTTTCAGTCAGGGTGGCTCAGTGGTTAGAGCAGCTATCCTCTTAACAAGAGTCTGTAGTTTGATTCCAGCAGCAGTCATTTGCTTAAGAGTCCCTGGGAAAAACTCCTGGTCCTATTGGTGTATGAATGTGATGTGAAGCTCCACATAATGATTTCTAGTGCTCCATCGTTGCACAAAGGCTCGGTCCATCCATGCTGTGAGCATCACTGGAAAAGAAGTGATTTCCATTTTGGTGTGTAGCTGCAGCTACCAGGAAGAAAGGTCACGTTCAGAGATGGGGCTGCCACAGCAACATCCAAGATAGGGCCAACATACTACTACTGTGTGTATTTATTTATATATGTTTATATATATATATATATATATATATGTATATATATATAAACATATATATATATATATATATATATATATATATATATATATATATA